GCATCCCCCTTTCGGTCGCCTTTTTTCTTTTTTTCTCATCGATGGGTCAGGGTGGAAGACGGCCCCATTCCTCTGAGCCACATGCCCCAGAACGGCACCAACAGGCGGCTTCTCCCACACGCAGCACCACCACCGTCCACGGACCTCCAGCGCCTCCACCTGCCAGCCAAAGTTTTTACAACTTTTACTTTCTAGGAACAGAAAAAAGCTTACAAGGGGCAACAATGAATTTTTTGTAAATTTTATGGGGGGTGATGGAAAGAAATATAAATTTCTAGCAGTTTAAATTCAATAACTAAATGTAATAATAACTCTAGAAATACAGTTTCAATATTAAAATATTCGGAAAATAGACTGTCTGTGCACTTTGACCCTAACATCTAGTCTTCACCTTATGTACAGCACTGTGCAAACATTCATTTCTTTATTTTGCTTCCATGTACCCAGACTTGAGTAATACTCCTCCATCTTTAGGCACTTTGTCATAACCAGCCTGTTATAAAAATAAAATTTTGTCTTTTTTTTCTTTCTTTTTCATGAAAAAATGCAAACGATTATACGGTTATATAGGCATACAACAAAACAAGAGACAGCCAACATCAACAGAAGAGTGAACTACAAGACACCTGGAAGACTACTTTAAGTAATTTTATGTACAATGTTTTCATTCATGTTTGCATGTTTCAATAAATTCATTTTTCCAGCAAAATATGAAGAAACATGGGGTGACTCAAGACCTTTCTGTAAATATCCAAATTCCACATCCAACAGTGACCCTTCATATGTTTTTACTGGAAACCTGATATATATTGCTGGTGGACTGAATCATGTCACAGCTATGAATAAAAATATATATTTGCATTAATCATATTTCACTGTGTTTCTGTTGCAGACTCTGTCAGTTTGTCATGACACACTGGGACACTGAATAGTATGGGGCTGAGCTGTTATCAGTGCATTAGCCATCTAATCACTATTTAATGCCCAGTTTTTCTATAGAAAATATAAAACATGTACATAGTTGAATAGATTAAGTACTACTGTATTCGAGCCAAAATAGTCAAAGTCCTCATGCTGCATATTTGCTTTTTGTGCCAATAGCCTCTAGTGACTGACTCAGTTTAATATTCTTTTAATATGCAAAGCCCAGTTGAAATACATAGTGCTACGTCAGGTGGACACAAACACTCTTACAGTGTCCTTCAAAAAATTGCCCTGGGACACCCTGATCACAGATTATGTTTAGTTATGGCTTTCTCGGCTTCATGTCCCCGAGCATGCAGGAGAATTTTTTTGTCATTTGGAGTTCAAAGGCAGATCAAACTCTCCACCAGGTGGTGATAAGTTGACAGCTCTGCTCCTCTTAACTCAGGTGTACAAAGTATTTAGCTGCAGGTTTGATGACATGGCAACAGATTGGTCATATCACCTGTTCAACAAATGGGAACTCTGAGTTTCCTGTTCCAGAACAGTGATTGGAGGAAATTCAATCAACTTTGAGTACGTTCATTCTGAGTTAAGAGAGTAAGTCACCATCGTAACATCTTTACATATAAAAACAGGAAGAAAAACAGAGCAATTTGATCAGTTTGTGCCACTTTGGCATCATCACATCAAAGAAAGAATAAAGTTTGAGATAAAAATCTATACATTTTGTCAGTGTTCGCTTAGCCAGCAAGAACTTTGATCAGATAAAGCTGTATTCTAACTTTACATTTGATTTTATAGCTAATTATTCATCATCATCATCGTTTATTTATATAGCACTTTAAAAACACACAAGGCCGACCAAAGTGTTGAACAATAGAAATATAATAGATACCATAAGAATAATAAAATATAAGTAAGTACAAGTCAGTCAACCACTGAGTCAAAAGCCAGTGAATAAAAACGCGTTTTCAATCTGGATTTAAAAACCATCACTGACGTCGATTGCCTAATGTGAAGAGGAAGATTATTCCAAAGCTTAGGTTATTATTCAGCCGAAACTTGACAGGACAAACTGTAGGAAACAAAAAGTAAAGATCAAACGTGGAGAAACAGTTGGGACACCTGGTTAGATCAGTTACCCAGATTGCAACAGACTCCAGACAGACACACCCTCGGTAATTCTGATAAATAAAGCAGTTGAACCAGTCTGAAACTAAAATAATTTTTGAAATCTTAGTATAGTAGAGGAAGTCTAGTATAAGGAAATTAAACAGAGGATAAATGTAGCTGTTGTTTTCCCAAGAAACTTGTAGTTGCCTTTGCTTTTTGCTTTCTTTATTGCCATTTTTATGTAATAAGAATCCCCCCTCCCCCCACCTTCTTTCTGTCTAGCTATCTTTATATAAAGTTGCATTGGTATGTCAGCATAAATGGAGTCACATTTTGTCATGTAATTTCAATGCAAATTTTCAAAGACCTCAACAAATGTGAACGAACATCAAACTGTTTCTTTGCAGTTTGTCACAGTTGCTGTATTTCCCAAGGAGACAAAAATGCCAACGTGTTGCGTTCAGAGATGGAGAAACATGTAGGAAGATGAAAGAAGAAGGTGAGAGATTATAAAAAAAAGCCCAGATCCACAAGTGAAATTTGTAGGTTAATCAAAACTCTTTTTTTTTTAGATTTTTTAAAATCAAATGTTGGATCCATACATGATGTGTTGACTATGTTTAACGTGAAATGTCTTGCAAAACAAATTAAAGTATGCTAACTTTGTGTTATTCAAATGATTGATCACATCTAGGGTCTTATTTACACTCACTAAATTCTACCTGTTATATTGGCTTTATAGTGTGTAGTGGCAGGAAATCAGCCATAGGGTTCTGCTTATATCTTCTTGAATTTAGTTGGTTAAATCCACAAAGAACAGCTCACGGAACAAATTTAAATGGAATGTTCTCCAGTTACTCCTTTGTTTTACTCCACCCCAGGACCTGGTCTGGTCATATGACTCACTGTGAAGTTCCCTGTTGGCAGCAGTGGTAAAGTTAAAACCAATACTGAACCACTCAGTCTGCTGTCACTGATGTCACAACACAACAGATATGAAGCACGCTCCTCTCTTAATCCTCATACTCAACAACTTCTGTGTCTTCTCACAGAGTAAGTATGTTTTAAGCTAACCATTTATTGCAACTTGTTTGTTCTGGAGCATGCAGTTCATGTGTCGAGACATGTTAAGCACCCAGAGTAATTTTTTGTTTCTGTTTCTCAAGAATGCAAATGCCTGAAAAGACATTATTAGACATAAACTGTACATATTAGCAGTCATATTACTTGACATCTATACTTTTCAGTAGTAACCAGTTTTGTTTTTCAGTTCCCCATGAAATGACCTACATAGTGGGCTGTTTCGTCCAAGGCCTGACAGAGGTTCAGTTTGAGTTTGATGGCGAAGAGTTTTTATATGCCGATTTCCCAAGAAAAGAGATTGTCTACACCGTTCCCAATTTTATTTTTCCCGATCCGAGTCATGTTTTGGTGGGTTTGAGTATCCTTAAAGATGCTTTGGAAAACAGGAAATGGTGTTTACTAATTACAGACATTGCTGCAATGGAAGAGAAGTATGTGCCAGAAGAAAAAGGTAAATCAACCTCAGCATCAATCTCTGTACAGACATGATTGAGAAAAAGCTGAGGAAAGTTTTAGTTGTGTTTTTACCTCCTCTAGACCCTCCAGAAATCGTCCTCTTCTCTTCTGACAAAGTTGAGCTGGGAATAGAAAACAGCCTGATCTGCTTTGTGAATCATTTCTACCCACCTTCCATCAATGTTACTTGGACCAAAAATGGCCATCCGGTGTCCACGGGGGTGTCACTCAGTCGATATTTTCCTAATAAAGATCAAACCTTCCACCAGTTTTCCACTCTGACATTCACACCAAGTGAAGGAGACTTTTACAGCTGCACTGTGGAGCACTCGGCACTGGAGACACCCAAAACAAGAATCTGGGGTAAATATTTGACCTTATGAAGTCACTAAAAACAGAAATTTCATTGTGTCTGTAATGACTTATATTGTCTTTAACTTTCTCTACAGAAGCTGAGCTCATGAACAGTGATCAAAGTCTTGGACCAGCTATTTTCTGTGGAGTGGGATTGAGTCTGGGCTTACTGGGAGTCACAGTCGGAGTATTTTTCTTTGTAAAGGGACACCAACGACAGTAACTTCTGTGAGGTTAAATATAGTCAGCATATGATAAACAAACACTATATTATTTCTGCACAGTACCATTTAAAGCCAATAAAATTAACACAAAACAAATGCAGTAACTCAACATGTGATAGAGACTAAGTGTGAGTTTGTACAATGTATACAGTGTTTAATAAACTTCGATGTACATCATGTAAATCAGTTGTATTTTTGATTTTGTCTTCTTTGATATATTAACCACATAACTTGTAGAGATTGTGCTTCTTATAAAACTATAACTGTTATTTTTGTTTATACTTTGCATATACATATATTTAATTACATTTTTTATACAAAAACATGATAAAGTGATTCAAAGCTTTTTGTGTGACAAAGCTGAGATCATCTCAACCTGGTTTCTTGACCACTAAATTTAGTTCGCTGTTCTCAAATGGCCTCCAAGTAAATAGATGTCAATCCAACAGAGCATGTAGTGGATCAGGAAATTCACATCATGGTTGTTTAGCCAACACTAAATTTTATAAAGTGATTCAGAGCTTTTTGTATTCTGTGTGTTTCTTTTTGTGTTTTACATAAATACTATAATCTACCAATACAAAACTTGCTTTACTAGTAATGTGTAATGTTCTGTTTTGTTTAGGTAATGACTGTTTAGTCATGATCCATAAAAAATTCTGAGCACTCAATTTGACTGAAGTGGCACCATGAAAGAAAATGCTGGTTCAAAATCTTTACTTCCCTGATTTTTAACCAAATGTATTTTTTACTTCTTTTTTTTTTTTCCATCGGTAATCTGAGATTTTTTGCAAAATAACTGGGGAGGTACCCAGTGACAACAAGAGCACTGAAATCAAAACAATACATTTCGGGAACTCAACTTCCTGATTTTTACAACTCAGTGCCAACTTTAACCACTGCTGTCTAGGTGTCATGCCATTCAGTCACCTCGCTACAATATGATGTCTCATACTCGCAGTTTTCTTCCTTTCTTTGTGCTTTTGCTCGTCTTTTCAACAGAAGGTAAGTTAGACTTTTTATTTATACTGCTGATCAAAGTGATACAACAGACTCAAATAGCTACTTAGCAGCTATCTGTTTAGCTGTAGCATGTGATGTGTGATGATAGGATATACATTTAACTAGCCATATTAACTACTGTTTGTTGGAAAACATTTTTCAGGCGCTCTCTTTGGATGTTATGTGGCTCATTGCCAGTTTACTTCCCCTGACGGCCACGATGCCATGTTCGTGGATCAGTTTTACTTTAATAAAGTGCTAGAAGTCCAATACAACAGCAGTGTGGGGAAAGTAGTCGGTTACACAAAGAACGGAATAAAAGTTGCAGATAAGCTCAACGGTGACGAGGGCTTTATGAAACATCAGATATGGAAATCAAACCTTTGCAAAAGAAATGTCCAAATGTTTTACGATGGGCGCCAGAATTCAGGTAATTTTCACAAAACATCACAGCAATTATCTCGAAACTGTCTCTCTTTCTTTCAGTCTACAAAGAAAGTCAAGTTTTGTTTTAATGACTTGAATGTTTCCTGTAGTCGAGCCCTACGTTTGGCTGAGGTCTGTGGATGCAGCAGACAGCAGACGTCCAAGCATGCTCGTCTGCAGCGCGTACAACTTTTACCCAAAACAAATCAAACTAACGTGGCTCAGAGACGGAAAGCAGACAACAACTGATGTGACTTCCACTGAGGAGCTGCCAAATGGAAACTGGCTCTACCAGATCCATTCCTACTTGGAGTATACACCCACACCTGAGGAAAAAATCTCATGCATGGTGGAGCATGCAAGCCTCATGAAGCCCATGATATATGACTGGGGTAAGAGAGTATTTAATGCCACCTGTATCTGAGCTTTAGATTAGAAAATTACACAGTATTTCATTAGTTACTTCATTTTACAGGTTTACACATCTAAATCAACTCAGTGAGAGCTTAAACATAAAATATAGTTAGCTGATACTAAATACAACTGACCCAAATGCAAATTTTCTGCTTTTTGTTTGCGTAAAACAAGAAACCTGTCAGCTTAAGACAAGAGATGTTATAAAAGGTGTTTCATGCTATTTTGGACATGTTATCTTAAAGCAAATTTACTTAATAATAAGTAAATTCCACTTACATTTACTCCAAATGATTTAAGTACATTTTCTACCGGTATTTCTGTATTTTCAGTCATAACTGATTATCATTCAAATGTGACTTTGCTTTATTCTTGGATCTATACAATCAACATTTTTCAGCAGGTATTCATTTGACATTTTATGAGAAAACATCAACGAGGAATTCACAGAGTAGAAGGCTGATTTTGCCACACATTAAAAACGGCCAAGAGGATTTAGCAACATAGTAGTGATGTGGTTAACACTGTCACCTCACAGCAAGCAGGTTTCTGGTTTCAAACTCCTGGTTGGCCAGGCCTTTCTGTATGCAGTTTCTCCCTGTGCATGTGTGGGCTTCCTCTAGTTACTCCAGCTTCCTCCTAAAGTCCAAAGACAAGCATGTTACTCTAGGTCAGCTGGTACTTCTAAACTGGCCATCCACACGAGGAAGCTTAATAAAATACTGCATGAATATACAACACATTGTAGTCTAATGCACTTTAGAGTTATTAATAAAGTAAAAGTATTGTCATCAAATTGACTCGTGATTCATATATTTGATATATATCAGTGTAAAATATGTAGATGTAATCTGCTGCTGCTGATAAATGTGTTTTCAGAACCATCACCTGACTCAGGGAGAGATAAGATTGCTGTTGGTGCAGCAGGGCTGCTGCTGGGTTTGGTGTTTTCAGTTGCTGGGCTCATTTACTACAAGAAGAAATCCAGTGGTGAGAGATTCTTTCTAATAAACATAAAATAATGTTTTTGTCATGACAGCATCTATTGATAAGATCTATTGATAAAAATGTTGAACCTTTCTGCAGGGCGGGTCATGGTGTCAATCACCGAGGTAGATGTTTATATTTAACAGTTATTTTTCCATCACTTTGAAACAGATGTGGAAACATCTACCAGACTATAATAAATCTGATTTTCTTTTTTCTGCAGGTTTTATACCCCGATGACACACTTTGAGTCGGAGCAGCCTTTTGGATTTCACTGAGATTTTGGTTCTGATTATGTAAAACGTTGTGGTCGACTTGCTTGTCCTTAAACTGTCGTCTGAGCTTTTCACAGACACGCAGAGACTCACATCATCCACATTTTCTCCTCACACTGTAAACTCAATCCAAACTCTGCATCACATCAGCTGAGCTTCCACCAGCAAACAGCTGTGTACTGTTTCCTGTCTTCTTCATTTTGGAAAGAAGAATTTAAAAAGTGAATGTAATATGATGGGGTTTGTTTTTTTTTTTTAGCTTACTCTAACGCCCTCAAGTGGCCAAAAAAATCTGTTAATGCAGGTAAACCTTCAGCACATGTCGAAAATGGCAGCTGTAAAGCACTGCTGGGTGAAAACAGGAAATGGGCAGTAAGGGCATAATATTTAGACATTGCAGAGAAAACGTGTAATTATTTAAATTCATGTTTATCTAGTCTGTGTAACAAACATGTGTCATCCTGTCTTTCTATCCCAGCTACCCTGGTGTGGATGGTAAATCAATTTCAGCATTAATGTCGTTTAACTACTGATAATAAATATAACACTTGTGTTTGCTTAAACATTCCATCCATGTGTGGTTGAGGACATACATTCACAGGCCATTTCTTTAGGTACATCCATTTAACTGCTTGGTAACAGAAATATTTAATTAGCTAATCACATGGCAGCATCTTAATGCACTTAGGCATGTAAAGATGGTCAAATCAAAAGGGAGGCAGGTGATTTAACCAACTTGAACATGACATGGTTGTTGGTGCCAGACTGGAGTGTTTCCAGAACTATTGATTCTTCCACAGAGAATTGTATGAAAAAGAGAAAACATCCCATCAGTGGTAGTTCTTTGAGTTTAAATGTCTTGCTGATTTCAGCGGTTAGAGCAGAACGGTTTTGGGCTCATAGGAAGGCCACAGTAACTAAAATAACCACTCGTTACAACCAAGGTTTGCAAAAAAAAGAAAAAAGAAAAAGCACTGCAGCAGCAGAAGACCACACCGAGTACCACACCTGTCAGCTAAGAACAAGAACAGTTGTTACAGACTCAAAAGTGGACAATAGAAGATTTGAAAACTGCTTCCTGGTCTGATGAGTTGATTTCTGCTGCAACATTCAGATGGTAGAGTCAGAACGTGGTGTAAAAAACATGAAAGCCTGGATCCACCCTACCTTGTATCAACAGTTCAGCCTGCTGGTGGTGTAACAATGCTTGTGATGTTTTCTTAACATTATGACCATGGTGTACCATCTTCTGATGGCTGCTTCCACCAGGATAATACAACATTGTCACAGAGCTGAGATCACCTCAAACTGGTTTCTTGACCACTAAATTTAGTTCGCTGTCCTCAAATGGCCTCCAAGTAAATAGATGTCAATCCAACAGAGCACCTTTAGGATGTAGTGGATCAGGAAATTCACATCATGGTTGTTTAGCCAACACTAAATTTTATACAAAACGACGATAAAGTGATTCAAAGCTTTTTGTATTCTGTGTGTTTCGCTTTGTGTTTTACATAAGTACTGTAATCTACCGATACAAAATTTGCTTTACTAGCAATGTGTAATGTTTTGTTTTATAAATTACACTTAGAAAATATATAAATCCTGAGTTCTCCATTTGACTGAATGAAAAAAAATGCTGGTTCAAAATCTTTACTTCCGGATTTTTAACCAAATGTATTTTTTACTTCTTTTTTTTTTTCCATCGGTAATATTTATGCAAAAATAACTGAGGAGGCAATATGAGACCCACTGACATTATGAGCACTGAAATCAAAACAATACATTTCAGGAACTCAACTTCCTGATTTTTACAATTCAGTCCCAACTTTAACCACTACTGTCTAGGTGTGATGCCATTCAGTCACCTCGCTACAATATGATGTCTCATACTCGCAGTTTTCTTCCTTTCTTTGTGCTTTTGCTCGTCTTTTCAACAGAAGGTAAGTTAGACTTTTTATTTATACTGCTGATCAAAGTGATACAACAGACTCAAATAGCTACTTAGCAGCTATCTGTTTAGCTGTAGCATGTGATGTGTGATGATAGGATATACATTTAACTAGCCATATTAACTACTGTTTGTTGGAAAACATTTTTCAGGCGCTCTCTTTGGATATTATGTGGCTCATTGCCAGTTTACTTCCCCTGACGGCCACGATGCCATGTTCGTGGAGCAGTTTTACTTTAATAAGATGCTAGAAGGCCAATACAACAGCAGTGTGGGGAAAGTAGTCGGTTACACAAAGAATGGAATAAAAGTTGCAGATAAGCTCAACCGTAACGAGGGCTTTATGAAACATCAGGTATGGAAATCAAACCTTTGCAAAAGAAATGTCCCACTGATTTATGATGAGCTCCAGAATCCAGGTAATTTTCACAAAACATCACAGCAATTATCTCGAAACTGTCTCTCTTTCTTTCAGTCTACAAAGAAAGTCAAGTTTTGTTTTAATGACTTGTGTGCATTGAATGTTTCCTGTAGTCGAGCCCTACGTTTGGCTGAGGTCTGTGGATGCAGCAGACAGCAGACATCCAAGCATGCTCGTCTGCAGCGCGTACAACTTTTACCCAAAACAAATCAAACTAACGTGGCTCAGAGACGGAAAGCAGACAACAACTGATGTGACTTCCACTGAGGAGCTGCCAAATGGAAACTGGCTCTACCAGATCCATTCCTACTTGGAGTATACACCCACACCTGAGGAAAAAATCTCATGCATGGTGGAGCATGCAAGCCTCATGAAGCCCATGATATATGACTGGGGTAAGAGAGTATTTAATGCCACCTGTATCTGAGCTTTAGATTAGAAAATTACACAGTATTTCATTAGTTACTTCATTTTACAGGTTTACACATCTAAATCAACTCAGTGAGAGCTTAAACATAAAATATAGTTAGCTGATACTAAATACAACTGACCCAAATGCAAATTTTCTGCTTTTTGTTTGCGTAAAACAAGAAACCTGTCAGCTTAAGACAAGAGATGTTATAAAAGGTGTTTCATGCTATTTTGGACATGTTATCTTAAAGCAAATTTACTTAATAATAAGTAAATTCCACTTACATTTACTCCAAATGATTTAAGTACATTTTCTACCGGTATTTCTGTATTTTCAGTCATAACTGATTATCATTCAAATGTGACTTTGCTTTATTCTTGGATCTATACAATCAACATTTTTCAGCAGGTATTCATTTGACATTTTATGAGAAAACATCAACGAGGAATTCACAGAGTAGAAGGCTGATTTTGCCACACATTAAAAACGGCCAAGAGGATTTAGCAACATAGTAGTGATGTGGTTAACGCTGTCACCTCACAGCAAGCAGGTTTCTGGTTTCAAACTCCTGGTTGGCCAGGCCTTTCTGTATGCAGTTTCTCCCTGTGCATGTGTGGGCTTCCTCTAGTTACTCCAGCTTCCTCCTAAAGTCCAAAGACAAGCATGTTACTCTAGGTCAGCTGGTACTTCTAAACTGGCCATCCACACGAGGAAGCTTAATAAAATACTGCATGAATATACAACACATTGTAGTCTAATGCACTTTAGAGTTATTAATAAAGTAAAAGTATTGTCATCAAATTGACTCGTGATTCATATATTTGATATATATCAGTGTAAAATATGTAGATGTAATCTGCTGCTGCTGATAAATGTGTTTTCAGAACCATCACCTGACTCAGGGAGAGATAAGATTGCTGTTGGTGCAGCAGGGCTGCTGCTGGGTTTGGTGTTTTCAGTTGCTGGGCTCATTTACTACAAGAAGAAATCCAGTGGTGAGAGATTCTTTCTAATAAACATAAAATAATGTTTTTGTCATGACAGCATCTATTGATAAGATCTATTGATAAAAATGTTGAACCTTTCTGCAGGGCGGGTCATGGTGTCAATCACCGAGGTAGATGTTTATATTTAACAGTTATTTTTCCATCACTTTGAAACAGATGTGGAAACATCTACCAGACTATAATAAATCTGATTTTCTTTTTTCTGCAGGTTTTATACCCCGATGACACACTTTGAGTCGGA